TAAAATAGATATCGACAGGCTTATCCTAAAATTTATATGGAAAGGCAAAGAACTACAATAGGTAAAACAATTTTGAAAAAGAATAAGATGGGAGGAACCACTCTATCTGATTTAGGGCTTATATAGCTACAGTAGTTAAGACTATGTCATATCAGTGGAAGGACAGACACATAGGTTAATGGAATATAATAGAAAACTCAAAAATAGCCCCCACACCAGTATGGCCAAATGACTTTTGACAAAAGTGCAAAAGGAATTCAATGGAAAAAAGATAGTCTTTTCAAGAAATGGTGCTGTAACTGACTATCCATAGGCAAAAAATTGATCATTAACTTAAACCTCACATTGTACACAAAAATTAATTCAAAATGGTTCATAGATTTAAGTGTAAAACAAAAAAATGTTTAGATGAAAACAGGAGATAATCTTTAGGATCAAGGACTTGGTGAAGTGTTCAAAGACATGACACCAAACACATGACCCATAAAAGAAAAATGATAAATTGGACTTCATTAAAATGTAAAACTTTTGCTTTGTGAAAGACTATTAAGAAGATGACCAGACAAGCTACAGATGGGAGAAAATATTTGCAAACCATATACCTGACAAAGAACTCATATCTAGAATATAAAGTACTCTCAAAACTCAATAGTAAAAAACCCAAACAATCCAACTAAAAAGTGGGCCTAAGATCTGAAGAGACATTTTACCAAAGAGGACATGCAAAGGTCAAATAAGGACACGAAAAGATGTTCAACATCACTAGCCATTAGGGAAATGCAAATTAAGACCATCATGAGAAATCACTACATGCTTACTAGAACAGCTATAATAAAAGACAGTGACAATACTAATTGCTAATAATAATGTAGATAAACTGTATCTTGTCCATCGCTGGTGGGAATGTAAAATAATATAGCCACTCTGGATAACAGTCTGGCAGTTTCTTTAGACACCAAATATATTTTTACCATATGTTTCAGCAATCACACTCCTGAGCATTTATCCCAGAGAAATGAAAACTTATGTCCACCTGGGCCGGCCTGTGACTCACTTGGGAGAGCGTGGTGCTGACAACACCAAGTCAAGGGTTAAGATCCCCTTACTGGTCATCTTTTTTTTAAAAAAAGAAAACTTATGTCTACCCAAAAACCTGTACAAAAATGCTTATAGCAGATTTATCTGTAATAGCCCCAAACTGGAAATAATCAAAATGTCCTTCAATATGTGATTGTTTAAACAAATGGTGGTACATCCATACCATGGAATACTACTCAGCAATGAAAAGGAACAAGCTAACAACCTAAATGGATCTCAAAGGCATTATGCTAAGTGAGAGCAAAACAAAACAAAACAAAAACCCCAATCTCAAAAGTTTACATACTATATGATTCCATGTATACAACATTCTTAAGATGACACAATTATGGAGATGGAGAACAGATCAGTGGTTGCCAGGGGTTAGGGATGGTAGGAAGGTGGAGGTACTGTGACTATAAAGGAATATCACAAAGGAGATCTTTGATGATGGTATAGTTTGTATCTTGATTGCTGCACCGAATATACACATGTGACAAAATGACTTGGAACTACATGCATACATTGTACCAATCTTAATTGCCTAGTTTTGATATTGTTATAGTCACATAATATGTAACTCTTGGGGGAAACTGGGTGAAGGGCACATGCATCCCTCTCTATAATTTTTGAAACTTCTTGTGACTCAACAATTATTGCAAAATAAAAAAGTCTGTTGAGTGAGGCCTGAGAGAGACCAGCTTTTTGCAGATATAAAGAGATTCCATTGCACTTCTCTTTCCACTTCAATATCTTAACCTTCTTTAATATTTAAAAAGGCTCAAAGCCACTGCTTTTATTATCCCTCTCTTTCTTCCAACTTTCTTGACTGTCAGTGAGCTGAGGCTTTGAAGCAAACCAACTAATTCAGAGAATGAAATGAAAGGAAGAATACTGAGGCCTGATTTACTGCTTTGAGCTCCATGGGCTCCCAGGGGCCTGCCATAGTCCTAAGGGACTTCGAAAAGGGAGAGAGTGATGGTCAAAGAGCCAGCTCTGTGCTCACCTTCCAAACCACCCATCATCAGGCTGCTAGAGAGGGAATGACAGGTGGGACTGAGATAGGAGGTGCTCAGTTTCCATGGGTTCGGGTTATAAGACACACCTCTGGGTTCCAAGGCACTCCCCAAGGTCTCAAGCTCCTCCTCTCAACTCTCCCTTCGAGGAGAGTTACCACTGCTTATTGCACCTAGTTTTGGTACCAACACAGGGAGATTGAGACCACAAGAGGCAGACTTATACATATCCAGTGGCTGAGCATGCTCGGTAGAAAGGAGTTATATAACCCCAGTAGCCGAGCATGCTCAGTAAAGTGGAATTTATCCTTTGACCTTCCACCAGAGGCACTAAAGAGCACAGAATATTCTTGAATATGTTTGATGCATGTGATAGAATTTGACCAATGAGGATGCCCTAAAAAGAGACCAACTGAGCATTTGCAAACCTGTTACATAACTGGGAACCACACCCCTTAATTGAATATTCATTAGAAAGCACGAATATGTATTAGATAGCAAAAAATCACAAAAGTGGAATCCAGGTAGGAGGCGGGGCTGTTGCTCACTTTTTGCCTGCACTTTGCCTGAGGTGTGTATTTCTTTCTTTTTGTATCAAACTTGCCTTTAGCAGGCTTCTGTTCCCTCTAGAGCAGTCTGCACTTTGTGAATATGCATTTCTTTCTTACCCTCTCCTCCAGTATCAGGATGTACAGCAAAGGGCAGAGGGCACATCACCCTCTGCATTGTGCTCAGGGAAACGTGGTACATTGGGAGATTGGTTATGGGTAGCACACCAAGGAAAGATGTGGCTGTTTGCCCAGGGTTGTACTAAAAAAGAGATTTGAGTCCACAGCACTGAGAACTGCCGGAGGGGATGAGGGGTTGGGAAGGGATGGGGAACAGGTGGGAAGGATTCTTACCTCTAAAACAAGGTCTGAATCTACATGTCTTCCAATGGTGGTAGTCTTGTTTAGGACAAAAAAGCCTTCTGCGCTCTTTAGATAAGCTTTCATTCTCTCTGCTTTCCCTATAAAACAGAAAGAATCTTGTCAGAAAAATGCAGTCCTATAATTATTCAGAAACATGGTATTTAGAGTGAACGAAATCCACTATAGAGTTATGTCCAAAGGGAGAAGTCAGCAGAGGTAGGAGTGGACAGATGGACTTAACAATGACCACAATGACAATTCTGCATGTTTTAAAGACTATCTTTTCCAACAGTGACATCTAGCATAGAAGAGCTTGGTTCTGATAATCAAACAGAGGATATTTCTTAAGTAACTCAAGGCACAAACAAGCAAAAGCTAAAACAATCCAACAATAAATCTGAATTCCACTAATAATTGCTTTCCACCTCCTATGAAGCTTAGTATGGGGTTAGGTATCTGACATATCAAGTATTCACATTCAATATTCGTAACCTACCACTTACTACTAGCTCGGTAACCTTGAGTGAGTTACTTATCATCTCTCTGTGCTTTAGTTTCCTCATCTGTAAAATGGGTTTTATCAGGATTAAATGTAATAATACAAGGGAAGCATCTAGAATGACGCTTGGTGACCTTAACATCCGAATGTGCATTCACACTACTTCTATTACTGTTGTGGTTAACCCGGGCTTCTCCAACTCTCATCCAAAGAACTCTAAGTTTCTATAGAATTTCTTAAAGTGCCAAGAGTCAGTAAGCACGAGATGACACTTTATTTTAAAATCACTGCATTTCTTCATATACTTAGCTAGGAAAAAAAGGGTGATTTTGAAAGGGAAAGCTTCAGGATTGTAGGTTGGCTATGTGATCAGGACTCTGCACGTACTTTTCCCCAACATTTTATTATGAAAATGTCAAACATAGAAAACAGGAGATAATCAATGCCTATCTACCAACTACCTAGATTCTATAATTGACATTTTGCTATTTTTGCTTTATTACATACCTACCCATCTATCCACTTATATTTTGATGCATTTCAAAATAAATTCTATACATGTTTTTAAAAACAAACACTTCAGTGACATCCGAAGGTTCTAAAATGTTGATGATACATCATCTCCATGCTTGGATTCTGATTTAAGTCTAAGTACACAGTGTGACTTCTCTATCTCAATGCCATGTCAAAGACCATCAGTCCCTCATTTTTCTTTTCAGCTGAAAAGTCACTGAAACACAAAGTTGTTGGACACGGATAAAAACAAAAACTGTCAGGCCGGCCCGGTGGCGCACTCGGTAGAGTGCGGCGCTTGGGAGTGCAGCGGCGCTCCTGCTGAGGGTTCGGATCCCATATAGAGACCGGTCCGCTCACTGGTTGAGCGCGGTGCGGGCGTGACACTGAGGGTTGTGATCCCGTTGCCGGTCGCGGTATGGGCACGACACCAAGGGTTGCGATCCCGTTACCAGTCACGAAAAAAGACAAAAAGGAAAAAAAAAACAAAAAACAAAAACTGTCTAGTTGTGATGGTATGGACTCTCAGGGCTGATTCTGCTTTTCGTCATTATCTCTGACATCATTTACTGAGTCCCTAATAAGTGCCAGGCCCTGGGCCATCCTTGTATACATGATGACTCTGTTCATCCTTAGAATAACCCTGCATGGTTGGTACCATTATTATTTCTACTTGACAGATGAGGAAACTGAGACTCAGAGAGGTTAAGGTCGCCCAGCAATTAGAGGCAGGGAGAGAACTCTGAGCCTCTATAGGTAGCTACAATCCTCAGGCAGCTCAGCTTTTCACACCTCCTTTGTTTCTGGGTGGGACAGGAGAGCAGGGGGAGTGACTGAGTTGGGGGAAGGTTTGCACTGTTTAAGGACACTTGGGACATGCAATAATGGAAAATCCTTGAAACCAGGATTCCATCCTCTGAAGGGAAGAAAAGGCCTTATTTGAAGGTAAGGGAAATAAAATTAAGACAGACAGTTTATTTTGTTTGGAAACACTGAAGGCTACGGAAAACCCTTCCACTCCCACAAATACTGATGCCTTCATATCATGAGAAATAAATTTTATTGTTAAGTTTGCTGTCATTAGTAGAGGTGAAAAGACATTTCCTTTTCCAAAAGAACCATGCCCCATAACCATCAAATCGCTTGAATTACTAATCTTCAATTGCATAGGCATGTTATCAAGCAATACAGTCAAACCTAATTAATCTAAAATGTACACTTTCAAGGAATGTCTCTTCTGCAGGGAAGACCTCAGCAAATGCCGCTAGACCAACACCTAAAACTTGGAAGATTTGCTTATTTGTTTTCTAGCTCTTCCCCCAGGTGTTCCCCAGGCTGGTGCCTTTTCTCTGCTCAGGTGTCCTCTTGTGGTAACCTCCTAAACACCCTGGCTACAGGCACCTTCCTGTCTCTTCATTCTCCAGCTGGCACACCTCTCTGCTTTGCTTCCTTCCTTGTACTTATTCTCTGCCATGTTCTTGTTCTTTTATTTCATTATGTGTTTCTGTTTGTTTCCCTTTCACTACAACATATGTTCTGGGACAGCAGGACTGTGTTGTTTTTAAGAGACAATTCTCCATGGGTTTCTTGTGTCTGTACCCATCTTCAGAGCAAAGGCATTGACAGATTTTGTTCCGGACAATCTTTCTAAGGATGATTGTATGGCAAACAGCCTGGGAGGATAAAAATAGTGTCCCCCTCCAGGGCACAGGACAGATGAGTTTTTTTTTTTTTTTGTCTTTTTTCGTGTTCGGCAACGGATCGCAACCCTCAGTGTCGCACCCGTACCGGACCGGGACGGCAACGGGACTGCAACCCTCGGTGCTGCGCCCGCACCTCGCTCAGCCAGTGAGCGGAACCTGTCCGTATGTGGGATCCGAACCCTCGGCGGGAGCGCCGCCACACTCCCAAGCGGCGCACTGTAGTAGTGCGCCACCTGGCCGGCCGGACAGATGAGTTTATAATAAAGATAACGTCTCCTTTCAGGACAAAGGTTGGGCAGGTTTGCTAGCAGCTCCTTTAAGAGATTGGGGTTTCCTGAGCTCTGGGTTTCTTAGCCGAGATACAGACTCACTGTGAGCACAGCATCCACCTGGGCTGTTCTGCTCACCCTGAGGGGCTTGCAGGGCAAGGGGAACCAATGTGAATACGAAACTCATGCTGCCTTCTGCGCTGTGAGTAATGAAGTCCTTTGTCTCTGGCCCAGGAGTCTCCTGTCTTCTGCCAGCATCCAATGAGTGGTGGCAGGCTAACTTGTCAGCTTGTAAGCAGAGTAAAATCTCAGACCCTTTGCAGTTCCTGACAGTTTTGTTCATGATGCCATCTCCAGCCCCCAGAGCTGCCATGCCTGGCACATAGTGGGTACTCAGCAAATACTGAATGAATGAATGAAAATACAAAATGACATCTAAAAGTAAGTCAGTGCAGCCTAGGAACCTTTGATGGCAACCACCTTTCATTCTCCCCTTTGGTATCCTTCCTAGATGACATTTTGAAAAACTTAAAGTCTATTTCTTTAGCTGTCTGGGTTGGGCGATAATTCTCCACCTTCATCTTGCCTTGCACAGTCACTGCCTGCCTGAAAACACCATAGAAAGTAATTTGAATGTGTTAAACTCTGTAAATTAGTTCCTAGTGCCACAGAACACCAACCGCAGTAAAGAGCAAAAGAGCTTCAATCATCTGCACCCCCCTGACCGCAGACGGGTCAGAATCGAGCTATAAGAAGCAAATTGTCCATCAAGGGCTACAAGGTCTTAGGTGGCCTGGGAGCTGTACAAGCTCCTCAAGGTTATCTCTGGGAAGGAGAGGTTAGGTGAGGGGGATCGGACCACAGTCAGGGGCAGCAGGGGTGCCCGTCCTGATCCCACCTGTACCCCACAGGGCATCCGAGAATGGCTCGGCTGGTGCCAAGGAGGGCCTAAGGCCCAGCGCGGGCTACCTCCGGGGACAGGGTGGGGCTGCTCTCAGGGAAGAAGGCTTGGTGTCGCGACGGCTCCTCTGGGATGCTTCTGGGGACCCGAACCCGGGTCGGAGAGGATGGGGCGGGACAACCCCCCCGCCCCCCAGCCCTTGTCCTCGAGGGACCTGCCTGTCAGGTCCCGGGTCTCGGCTCGCCGTCCCTTCCCGTGCCGCACTCACCTGGCC